CTTACCTGACCTTAGGTCACAGATATCCAAATTATGATATAGGTATTAAGGGGAGGGGGGGGGGGGGTTGGCACTGCCGGCTTTTGGTCCCATTTTTTCCATGCAACGCCCACAGGGCTAATGTTAAAATGGCAAAATCAGGGGGGCACGGTGCCCCCCCCCCCGTTCCGCCGCCTATGTCCATGCAGTGTACTGCATCCAGCAACGCCCTGTCAATAGTGGTATCAATAGCTCTTATTACATTTATTAGATTCATTATATAAGTTATTTCACTCTAGCCGCACGGAACTATTTACGGCAGCGTAACCCCGGCCGGAAGCGCAGCGGCGCTGACTTTGGCAAGCCTCATCTTGCATCATCATCATCCCGGTCCAATGAAAGAGTTCGCACCTACTGGCCACTACCATTGATGTTTCGCTTTCGGTTGAACTAGAACTTGGTAAAAAAAAAAACAAGCATGTTAGCCGTCACGAGACCAGCGAACGGTACCAAATTTTAACCCGCGCCCCACTGGGGTCTGCGTATGACACGCCCTACTGGGGGAGGGGGGGGGGCATTCATAGCCCCCCTCCTAACTCCGAAACTACTGGGCCAATCGTCAAAACTCAAACGGCGTCTGCTAGCCCCAGAAGAACTGTCAAGAGAAACATAATTAAATTGGCCTCGAGGTCACCGATGACGTCACGGGTCAGGTCAAATAAAAAAATTATCGTTGTTTGGCTTGTTCACAGTTTGGGCTCTGGCCGCCGTCTTACAAGTTAGATCAGGCTCATTTTTGGTTTACACACTCGTGAACAGCTGCTTTAGATACCCTGAGGGTACCAAACTTGCACTTTGATTTTCAGGTCAGGGTCAGGTCATCACAGGTCACGAAAATCCTACATCATGCATTGGTCACGTGACACATATTTTATGGTCCATTTAGGCCATAGATTTCGAATTCGATGTCAAGTTATGTCATTCGAGGTCATTTTGAGCTGAATTTAGCTTAGGTCAGGCCACTTTTAGGTAAAAAAGGTCAAATTTTAAAGTTTAAGTTTTTCATAAAAAAAAGGGGTCAACGGGATGCAGTTTGAGCTCAGGAACACGATGGTGTCATTTATATTTGTGTACGATGTCAAATGCGTACTGAAAAAAATTGATTTGAAAAATTTATAAATGTGAAATTTTTGCTAACATGCGTGCCTATAACTTAGCCATTTTTGAAGATATCTGGCTATAACTTGCTAGAGTAAGTCATAAGCATGTGCTCCATCACATATATTCCGTTTTTTTTTTTTCGAAAAGTCGAAAACTTTTTGAATGAAAAAATATAAATTTTGAATTTCAATGAACATTATTTTCAAAATTTTCAAAATTTTGAAAATCCGAGATGGCAGTTTGATAGCGCAGTCTATTGTGAGTCCACTCATGCAAAGAAATTGGACCTAGCTTAAAGACTGAGCTCTTGGGAGGGGTTGCCGTGGTTCAATGTTTTGCGTCGAAATCGGCCGAACATAACGTCACTCTGACGTCATTTCCGGCCGACCTATGGTAGCTATGAAGTTCAAATTTTGACACAAGGTGTCAAATTGATGTAGGCGAAGGTACTGAAAGTTTGGCGTCGATACGTTGGGCGGTTTAGACGTTATTGCAGAAAAACGGAAGGGGGGCTATGAATAGCCCCCCCCCCCAGTGGGGCGCGGGTTAAGGTTTTGATGCAACCAGTGACCTCATGGGTCAGGTCAGCATTCAAAAGGTCAGACCGTCTGGTTTTCGATAAATCACTTGGGCAAAAACAATTGCAGAGCAAGGATTTCGGTCTAGAAACGCTTGTCATGCTCATGTCCAGTCACAGTGTCAACTGACAAGTACCTAATGTCAAATGATGCATTTTCATTGAGGGAAAATCAATTAGAATGTTTGGCGGTTTCAAACCGATACAGCAAGGATTCCACCTGTTCCACATCTCGAACCTTCAGAGCTGTCGACACCGACATACTCTCGTCACGATGACCGTTCTAAAGCGCCGCCACGCGCACACTCGCTGTATCTGTGACATATCCGTGTCTCAGGAGTCGCGGTGCCGCGCCTGTTGCCCCCTGCCCTGCGGCACCCAAACACCGACACCCACGCCCGTGCGAGCGGCCTGAGATTACATCACGTGACGTCAGAGAAATGGTGGGCGCCGATCTGGCCGACGCGGCTAAAAGGTGGCGGCCGCGCGCGGCCCGTCAGTACCGGCGCAGACACACACGGGAGCATGGGGTCGGCGGTGGTGCGCGGGGCGGCCGGCGCGCTGGCGGTGCTGGCTGTGATGACGGTGTCGGTGGGTCTGATCCAGGGCCGGGCGGCGCCGCGACAGCAGCTGCCACTCCACCTGCTGTCCGTGGCGGCGGCGCTCAGAGACGTGGAGGCCACGCTGGCCGGCGAGGCGCAGCAGCTCTCCAGAGAGGCAGCAGCTCTGTCCGGCGGAGCTGCCCGTGACGCGGGGCTACCTGGTGACGAAGGGACGCTCAGTGGCGCGGCAGCGGTCCCCAGCGGCGCAGCAGCGGTCTCCAGTGGCACCGAATCTTTCTGGGACGACCACGAGGACCGTACCGAGGACTCACCCCTGGAGCGGCCGCCGAGGCCCGCCGTGGACTCGGCCGAGTTTGCCGAATACAGCGGACGCACCTCGCGGCCCCGTCGCAGCAAGAAGGGCCGGCGCCGGGGAGGGCTCCGGCTGGGCCGGGAGGAGTACCAGTTCTGGCTGAGGAGTGGAGGTGAGGAGCCGAGCTGGCTGTGACAGTCATTGTGGCGCTGCAATATCATGTCTTATTAAAATAAAGCGCCGTTTCGAAATTTCCGTTCGAACAGTAAGAAGCAGCTGTAGTCATCTCAGCTCGACACAGCCGCTGTCGGTTATCGAACGCACCCTCAGCGCCTCGCCTGACGCCATCCCTTCTCTCGCTCACAGAATGTCGTAAGACAACCAACGGCGAAGAGCAGTTCTTTTGCCCGAGCCCGGACAGCAGCGGCGCCTGGAGATGTACCACCGCCGACACCCTGTGCGACGGAAAACGCGACTGTCCCGGCGGCGAGGACGAACACGGCACCGCCTGCCTCTTCTACAAGGCGGTGAGTTGACTGGTGGCCCCGTGGTCCAAGGGTTTGCATGTGAGATATAGACACGCAAGGACAGGTCGCATCAACCGGTACATGTGGAAATAATCTGAAGGAAGGTGATCGCGTGCTTCAATTGTTCACTCGTCATCCATCATGTTCAGTTACTTGCCAAAATTTCATCATCATCCTCGGTTTGCTATCGATGGATCACGGGTGCCGCCTCCGTGGGCGCCAAAGAGATAACGAGCGACAGGACATTGTCTCTGAAGAGGCCACTTCAGCCAGCACTTCCGCCGCCTGTAGCCACCAATAGGCGGCGCTATGTTGACTTATCATGCACAGGCGCGTTCTGACCGCGCCAGACAACTGAGATTCGAGATAAGCTGATCCCGCTTTAGGAATGTTCTCGAGCCAGATGCAGACACCATTCTCAAGCGGTGGGATGTCCCACTGATTGGAGCACGTGTCCTTGTTACAGATATCGGACCAGTTGTCAACGGTAGCCAACCACGTGCTCAAGCTGAACACACACCACCGGGCGCACTGACGTTCGGCGCGACGCGGTGACGTCGATGACGTGCGGCGCGGCGCTGATGACGGTCCGTCATCCGCCAGCTGCCAGTCACAGACGGCCACCGCAGCATAAACCGAGTCAGGATCTCGAAAGTAGAATCTTTCAGATTGCACTGCTGAATTGGGCGGACACGCCTGTTCCCTGACCGCCGGCGGTATGGGGACTGTGATGACGGGGCAGTGGTGTTCGTAGCGGCCTTTTTCGCTGTTAAACGGCATTTTTGGAGGTTAGCTGTGACTGAGGACATTTCACGAGGACACCACCGCTAGACCTTCGCTAGACATTGTTCCGGAGCTTATGTCTTCTAACAATTTCCGAGATCAATTTATGGGATGCTATAACCAGTTTCGAACAACCATGAGCTATTTGTCCACCAGAGTGTTCATGTCGCGTCGTTGCCAAAGTCCATTCAATGTTGCAAGGCTTGCAGTGTATTGCAACTTCCTTGCGTCATCTTGTTAGCTTGTCCTTACATTATTTATTCGCATCACAATCGCCTAGCATATCATATCATTGTATCATATCATTCTCATGTTTTATCTATTTAAGTTGCTATTTATTATCTTTTCGAGTGTTTGTGCATTGAAATGCAATCAGTGACGATGACATGATCAAAATACACTACTCCTCTTTTGATAGTCACCTGTCTGTTTAACCAAGTTATCATGTTCAAATGTCACGCTATCGAACACGACACCCAGCTGGTATTTACATAAATAGGTACAACCAAGAACATGCATGCAACTACTTGAACGGACAGCATTGCAACGTGAGACATCTTTGACACATCAATCCACACCTCTTCTGTCAATCGGGCTAGGCCAGTTGACAATAAGCAGGTTCGGTCGGGTAAATACGTCAATGAAGAACGGTGAACAACGATGAGACCAATGGAGGGGCGGCGGCAATGAGACAATTAAGAACGGTTTCTCGGCGTCAAAAACATTAACGGATATTCGTCAATCGATGAACAAGGCGTTTATCTTTAAATGATGTAAATCAAATTTTGCCTATAAACATTCGTGATCATTAAGCCCAAGTTTGTCCATCCAGAGGCACGGTCAAAATTCGATTCGTTGATAGTTCCAGAAGAAAAAACGAACGTCACGAACAACAAACGAACGGAAGGGACGAATAATGTTTACCGTATTGCACTAAACTGCATCTTTCACGAATCTTAACCAAGCATACTGCTCATAGGGGTACTGTTTGGTACGACAGCAATTTTCGGTAGACTCGTCTCATGATTGTTGTATCTCTACGAAAAATTTGAAGTAAGACTATAACTCGAAATATTTTCAAGTGAAAAGCACTTACGAATCACAACGTTCCATGAAACTAAATGTGAAAGAACGTGTATTGTGCGGCATATATGGACCTGCCTTCACAACATTGACAGAACACATTCATATGGAACCGGCTCCACAGAAATGACCGAACGTCTGTAGATGGAGCACGCTCCACAGAACAGATAGAACACCTGTCCCAATCGGTCTGAACGGCCGAACATCAACCACAAATATCACAACAACCCGCACCTCCTCCCCACCCATCCCTCCCAGTGCTGGCCCCTCACCAGTCGATCCCGGCTAAAGGACCGTGCGTCACAGACTCACGGCACACCTCCCTCGCGACACAGACTCACGGAATCTCACGACACAGACTCACGGCCCCCTCCCTCAACACACCCCTCCCCTTCCCCAACGGGAGCTGATCGTCGCACCGGACAACGATCAGCACCATGGCAACTGACCTCACCTATGTAATTCCGCTACCCCACCCCTGTGAGCAGTCTTCCCTGGAGCAGGCAGACGAACCGAGCCTACCCCTGTCTTAGCAGCTCAGACGCCCCCCCCCCGCACTGCTGCCCTCTGTCCATCCCCTACAGTTCACCCCCTAACCGTGACCTCAGTCGACCTTCTGTAGCGCCGCGAGTCGCTGCAGCAGCGGCGGGTGCGAGTGGTGCCACGCCGAGTACAGTCGGTCGTACACCGGGAAACTCAGGTTGTCCGAGGTCAGTTTGATCAGCGCAGCCTTCAGCAGAGCAGCGTACCTGGCGACGCATCAAACGGGAGCGTTAGAACTTAGAAGGGCTAAAGTGGAATCTGCAATCTTCCAATAATTACAAATATACTTTTGACTTTGTGCATGTCTGGATAGACAGGGTTGCATAAAAGCTGCATGGATGTAGAGCGGATAGAGCTGCAATTATATTGAAAATGAGCATCAGCAGTGCCGCATTAATGGCACGCTTCCAGCTTATCAACAATTTCCATTTTTTGTTCCATACTCATTGTCGTGTGATTCTAGTAAATTATATTGATTCAGGCAGGGGTGGCAAACATTGGTGTCAGCGCCCACATTTGAGGTGAAAAACATGCATGTTTGTTGGCTAATATCGTGGCGATTTCCACGATTTACGAGACTCAAGGATTTAGACTGCCATGATTGCAAGCCAAATTTCCTTCAGCAAAGGTAAGTAACATTCAGTCAGGCACTTTTATGACAAAATGGCGTCTTATGTCAGAAATGCGATATGAAGTTTGAAATTGACCTTTGGTATGATTCTCGTCCCACTCACCCTAGCGCCTTTCCGAACTGGTCAGCCTGGAACTCGAAGCGCCGAGACATGCCGGTGGCCAGCACGGTGAAGAGGGTGCTGTAGGGCGCGAACACGTACTGCAGGATGATGACCAGGCCGCAGAGCACCGGCTGATCGGTCGTGAAGCCGAAGGCCCGATACAGCGGCGCATACCGGTACAGGCCAGCGAACACGGCGAACGTCAACAGCAGGTTCAGCTGCAGCGGGAACGGGAGGTCAGTGTCGGCCGTAACAGGAGGTCAGTGTCGGCGGTAACAGGAGGTCAGTGTCAGCGGTAACAGGTCAATGTCAGTGGCAACAGGAGGTCAGTGTCGGCCGTAACAGGAGGTCAGTGTCAGCCGTAACAGGAGGTCAGTGTCGGCCGTAACAGGAGGTCAGTGTCGGCCGTAACAGGAGGTCAGTGTCGGCCGTAACAGGAGGTCAGTGTCGGCCGTAACAGGAGGTCAGTGTCGGCCGTAACAGGAGGTCAGTGTCAGCCGTAACAGGAGGTCAGTGTCGGCCGTAACAGGAGGTCAGTGTCGGCCGTAACAGGAGGTCAGTGTCGGCCGTAACAGGAGGTCAGTGTCGGCCGTAACAGGAAGTCAGTGTCGGCCGTAACAGGAGGTCAGTGTCGGCCGTAACAGGAGGTCAGTGTCGGCCGTAACAGGAGGTCAGTGTCGGCCGTAACAGGAGGTCAGTGTCGGCGGTAACAGGAGGTCAGTGTCGGCCGTAACAGGAGGTCAGTGTCGGCCGTAACAGGAGGTCAGTGTCGGCCGTAACAGGAGGTCAGTGTCGGCCGTAACAGGAGGTCAGTGTCGGCCGTAACAGGAAGTCAGTGTCGGCGGCAGCAGCAGGTTCAGCTGGAAACAGGTCAGTGTCAGCGGCGAGGCAGCAACAGGAGGTCAGTGTCCGTGGCTGGGGCGGTAACATGTCAGTGTCAATATCAGCGGCTGGAGCGGACGTGTCAGGAGGTCAGTGTCAGCGGCAGTCGAAATCTGGAAAATGAGCGTCGACCATAAATTTGATGTTGTGGAGAATTATAAGTACGTGAAAAAATTACATGCTTTCCTATAATCACAGAAAACGCCATAAAATAGAGTAATAAAAAGAAACAATGAAAAATAAGACTAACAAAATAATGTAAAAAAGAATATTCACAAGGAAGAAAATATGAGGAATTAAAGGCCGTGTCCATCCGCGCACCGGTATAAAGGATGGCGCGTGGAAGAGGAATGAAAGGCGCTCAATGGACGAGACAGGACACTCGCATTTCGCATTCCAGGGAAGCGACTTCGGCAAAAAGGCCCATATCCGCCGCATTGACGGATGGTGGACTTTGGACACGGGGACGCAATATAGCACACACGGGTGACCGTTCAGGCACGAGAGAGCGTGGGCGGCTATTGGCTATCGTGAGCTGTCCGGTATGTATTGGTCGGATCGAGCGTGGGACAACGTAACGCCACCGATAGCCGGGAAAGCTCAGATGGGACATTCCATATGGACATTTCCGATGAAGTGTTGCCACCTTGGCAAACGAAGCCGATCCCCTGCAGCGATCTATATCCGGTTGGTTTAATAACTCGAGCCGCGCAATCGCCCTAATCCTTCCCGCCTTCCCGCACGGCAGATACCTGAATGAGGACGATGTTTTTGAAGACGTGATTCATGCTCCAGTGTCCCAGCTCGTGACTGAGTACAGCCACCACCTCCAGGTTACTGCAGCCCTTCTTCACTGCTGCCTCCTTCTCGGTCGAGTCCTTGTTCTCCGAGCCGGCACTATCTCCGGAGTCGGCCTCCTTCCCGGCCGCGGCGCCGTCCTCCTTCTCCCGCTCAGAGTCAGCAGTCTTGCTCTCCCAGTCCTGCAGCAGCGTGTCGAACAACACGATCCGCTTGTTGTTGAAGAAGCCGTAGAAGTAGGCGTTGCTGTGCGCCGAACGCTTGGAGCCTGAAACGATAGACAACAAAATTTACTTAACTGATCTTCAAGAGACTCATGGGAATGAAAAATTTATGGTACTCATAGCTCGTGATCCTTGTCTCAGCAGTCAGCTCACCTTCCACGACGTACAGCTTCTTCAGCGGAAAGTGCAGCTTGGCGGCCAGAGCCTCGATCATGTCCCTGAGCTCTCCCTCCGGCAGCGGCGTGTACTTGTCGAACAGCGGGGCGATGAACTCGGGGTAGATGGTCATCAGGAAGAGCAGCACCACGAAGCAGAAGGCCCACAGGTAGAGGAAGAAGTAGTCGCCGCCGGCCTGCACGATGTACACGATCATGGCCACGATCGGCAGACTGATCACCTGATTCACCACGAACGCCTTCAGCTTGTCCTTGATGAAAAAGCCCAGCGTCTGCGGACCGAGAAAAAGATGGTATTTGGTGATTTTCTAAAACACGTACGGTCGTTTGTTTCATTTGATGCCTACATCATGGAAGGGAACAACTGGACCACCAAAAAACCTGTCGATGCCTGATATTGATAGAGTTACATGTAGCATCGCGACGCGACAACACTTTGGTTCATCATGATAACATCCTATCCTATCTTCTTCATTCTCTGGTAGTAGCGTGTGCAACGCGCATCCCTACTATAGTGAACAGTCCCACCTATCAGGCTGGGAGGGGCCTGCTCACGTAATGGACGCCGTGTTGCAAGTTGTAGAAGGTTGGCACAGTCCTTGTCAACAAACAGTTACGCCACGTTATCAGCCACACAGACTTGGAGTGGCGCATTCACCCACGTGACCAAGCAGCGCACGGCTTAGGGGCGTGATGACGGGGCTACGAATGGAAACATGACGCATGTTCTGATAATATAACCATTACAGAAGTCATTAGTTATTAAAGAAAGGACAGCGTGCTGACATCATTACGCAAGTTGTAAATGTCCATCGTGCGTTTCGGTTTAAAATTTGTTGAAGGATCGTTTATAACGCGATGCGTAGAACTTATTGTTGCTATGACGACACACTCATCGGTATCTGATAAGGGCGGTACTTTTCACAGAACTGCAGACAATGATGGGACGTTTTGTTGCACCCAATCGTGCGCTGACGTGCAGGTATATCGTGCAGATCATCGTCAAGTGGCATTCTTCCGCGCCAAGTGGGACACCCTCGGAGCATCCGCACTTGGGCACGGACCAAAGCCACCACACGTAATCTCACACAAACGGTAGGCACTAGGCACCGACAAAAATATCCAAGCCGCTCCTCGATTCAAGTGGGGCAACAAACGAAACAATCGTGCATCGATGACCCGCTTGTCTGTAGCTGCTTATGCAACTCCGGACGGGGAAGGCGATAATGCCATTCTCCAGGATATCGCATCACGGGAAGCCCGCAGACGCGACGAAATAGGTGCAACTTCTTTCGGTCTCCCCTAGCCAGTTATGTGATGGTGACCAATGACGTCACAATGCGCCGTGCAAATTACTTGATAAACCCGACGAATGTAATTCGGCCAGTTGACTACTCAATGACGTCCCAGGAGAAGCGAGGAAAGTTATCGAATGTCGCAATATGTCCTGCACGCGGAAAGCTGATGGTCTCGAAAAGATCAAATTTCATCGGGTGGTGGCCTTTTTTACTGGAAGCTAGAGACCGCATTGTTCAGTGACCCAAGCTTTATTAACATTGTTGTTGTTGTTGTTGCTTCACTTTCCATTGTCTATATTTAGCAACAGAGTTACAATCAATCTGACCTTTACTAAGTTTTGGTTTCGCTAGTTATTAGCATTTAGGGGACTTTTTGACAGCGCGCTTTAGTGTTGATAACTTTTTTGTTGGCCAAGAGGCTTGTAAAATAACTCTGTGCCTTTTCACTGCTGGTATTTTACGTAGAAGGCATTTCATGACCGAGAGAAAAAGCGTCACAATGGCCATCACCGTCACAAAGTCCTCTCCCAAATATCCCAAATCAATAAAATCATGAGGTTGACCACTCCACATTGCAATTGGTGATCGATTTTCTACCTGTTAATATAAAAAGAAGTGCCTGCAGCCATTCAAATATGCTAGGCCGAGTTTGCCACAGTCAAATGACACTGCGCGAAATTCGGTTGCTCGCGCAAAGTCTTGTCTTGTCAAACATGTCGAAAACATCACATCACGGCCGGGTAGGATGCTCTCGACAAATGTCCCTTTGCATTGTTGCATATGTCTGATATCGTAGGTCCTGAGACACTGAGGAGTCGATGGCCTAGTTTTTAAAAATTCCAAAGCTTGCATCTACAGTAGCATCTAGGACTACACAAGTATATGAACGAAACAATCAGCCACCAGCTCACGGTCGACTGTCGCGACCAGACCAGAGCCGCCACTCATCAATCACCGACACCGCTCAGTCGCAGTGACCTCCGCACAGTAACGTGACGAGCGTCATCTACCGCCAGCTGGCATCACTACGGAAATATGTATCCCCATTCCCCACCCACCGCTACCATTTGACCATGACAGCGCCACCGACACGGTCGTGATTCACTGAAAATTTCCATGACATAAAGCATCAGATCCTGCAGCTAGCTGGCAACGCTACACAGTCAGACAAGACGTAAAGCACCTGTACCAGGGGAGCAGATGCAACCAGACCGAAAGCTAACAATTGGGGTGTCAAAATTAAAGCTATTGCAGATGGCGCTGATACACGATGACCAAAGGACCGGCCGACGGACAGAGCGTTCTCTCGATTGCCCTCTACTCACCTGTTTGTTGAATCCGTGCCGCTGCTCCACCGCAAACGTGGAGTAGAGTGACCAGGGCAGGCCGATTACCGTGGAGACGACACTCGTGTAGAACATGAACACCATGCTCTGTGTGATTTCGCCACTGAGGCCGGCCCAGCGCAGGGTGTGACCCGACAGGCTCCACATCAGCGGCATCACAAACATCAGCAGACAGGCCTGGGGAGGGACATAGTAAACATCAGCACTGACAGAACTGTGAGGGACACGATACACATCAGCTTCAGCAGACAGGCCTGCGGAGGGACATAGTAAACATCAGCAGACAGGCCTGGGGAGGGACATAGTAAACATCAGCAGGCAGCCTTGGGGAGGGGCAGGATACATATCAGCAGACAGGCCTGGGGAGGGACAGGATACACATCAGCAGGACAGAACTGTGGAGGGACAGGATACACATCAGCAGACAGACCTGGGGAGGGACAGGATACACATCAGCAGACAGGCCTGCGGAGGGACAGGATACACATCAGCAGGACAGAACTGTGGAGGGACAGGATACACATCAGCAGACAGACCTGGGGAGGGACAGGATACACATCAGCAGACAGACCTGGGGAGGGACAGGATACACATCGGCAGGGACAGAACTGTGAGGGACACGATACACATCAGCTTCAGCAGACAGGCCTGCGGAGGTAACATCAGCAGACAGCCCTGTGGAAGGGCGTGTCAGTGGCATCATCCACAGGTGACAGACTGCTCTAAAAAGGCAATGAAGCCATTTCTTTACGGCTAATGTTTACCCGGGACCGTAATATCATACGGGCGGGCATTGATTATGCGGTGAGTGTATGCATATCATGCTATGTGGAAGCATGATGCATGATCAACTAGCATTGTCAGCATGCATATATAAAACACAGCAAATCACACCCTAAAGCCATCGTCGTTTTTACTTTGCGGCACTCCAGTTTCGACAGACATGGATCAACTACAGTTAAATGATGCTCTCATACTCATCCCCTCAGGGGCGGTCGCAGACTTGGAGTTTGGGGGGGGGGGCCAACTTGGCAAATAGGCCCCTGCGCTGACCCGGGGGGCCCGGTGCTAGAAGGGGCCCACGGGCGTAGTGCACGGGTGCAGAAATCCAGGCCATGGCCGGTGAAGCGGGGGGGGGGGGGGGTAGGGAGCGGCACCCGAGCGGAGGCTTATTGCGAGCTTTGAGGATGTTCCATGTCGAAAAGGTATCGATAAGTGCATTTTAAAGCATTGATAATGCCAATAACTCACGCAAATGTGAATGGACTACCGCAAAAGTAAAGACGGCTAACTTTGCCATTTTCTGAGATCATCGTGCTAAAACTTTTGACAGTGGGTCATCGGTATCTGTTCACTGTTCAATCACACGTGTTCCGTTTCATTTTTGTTTTTTAGGTACCTACTTGAGCACAAATGTAAGTTTTGAAGACCATTACCTACAGTAGCAAATGCTTCGAAAGATGGATAGTGGGCAAAGTATCCTAAATTTGTCGTGCTGCATGGAAAGTAGTGTTGCTGAGAAAAGGGGGTTTGTTCCAGATTATTGTGGATGCAGAATACATTGTCTGCACCCTATGCAGAATTATTGTTGGTGCAACTGCGCCCACTGCACCCATGGTTCCCACACTTACTTCGGCCCATCGATAGCGCTTCAGCGATACCTATCGCCTAGAGGCTGCAATGGGGCCCCTATAGTACGGTGTCAGACCCCCAGAGGCCGGCGTTGGATCCAAGGGTCAGCGAAGGGCCTCAAAGGCCCCAGGTAGGGCCCCAGAGGCTGATGTGGGCCTTCAAAGGCAAGTGCGTGACGTCCAAAGGTAAGGCTTGAGCCCCCAGAGAACATAATAGGGCCATCAGTGGTCGGTGTAGAGACCTCATAGGCCAGTTTTGGGCCCCCTCAGAGGCTAGTGTGGGGCCTCAGGTGTCGGTATGCGGCACTTAAAGACCGTTATGGGTCCTCAGAAACCGGCATCGATCCTTCAGAAGCCAGTACGGGGCCCTCAGAGGCACATAAGGGTCAGTTTGGGTCCCAGAGACAGAAATGGGACCATCAGAGGCCGGTGTGGGACCTTTAGAGGCTGGTTTGGGTCCTTAGGGGCCAGTTTAGGGCCCTCAGAGACCAGTACAGGGCCTCCAAAGGGCAGTTTGAGACCATCAGAGACCATATTGGGCACTCAAAGGCTAATCTAATGTGGGTCTTTACAGGCCAGCATGGAGCCCTCAGCGGTTAGCGTGGGGCCATAAAAGATCGACATGGGCCGGCGTTGGACCCCAGAGGCCAGTAGAGGGCCCTCAAAGGCCAAGATGGGCCCTCAGAGGCCGATGCGGGCCCATAGAGGCCGGCATCAGGTCTTCAGAAACCCGTGCGGGGCCCTTAGAGGCTAAGGTGGGTCCTTACATGACAGCACGGGCCCTCAGAAGTCAGTGTGGGGCCCTAAAAGATCGGCATGGGCCGGCGTTGGTCTCCAGAGGCCAACAGAAGGCCCTCAAAGGCCAATATGGGCCCTCAGAAGCCGATGCTGACCGTTAGAGGCCGGCATCGGGTCTCCAGATTCCAGTGCGGGGGGCCATCAGAGGCTAATGTGGGCCTTTACAGGCCAGCATGGGGCCCTCAAAGGTCAGAATGGGACCCTAAAAGACTGGCATTGGCCGGCGTTGGACCCCAGAAGCCAGCAGAGGGCCCTCAAAGGCCAAGATAGGCCCTCAGAGTCCGATGCGAACCCTTAGAGGCCGGCATCGGGTCTTCAGAATCCAGTGCGGGGCCCATAGAGGCTAATGTGTGTCCTTTCAGGCCAGCATGGGGCCCTCAGGTCAATGTGGGGCCCTAAAAGACCGGTATGGTCCGGCGTTGGACCCCAGAGGCCAGCGGAGGGCCCTCAAAGGCCAAGATGGGCCCTCAGACGCCAATGCGGGCCCTGAGCTGCCGGCATTGGGTCTTCAGAATCCAGTGCGGGGGGCCCTTAGAGGCTAATGTGGGTCCTTACAGACCAGCATGGGGCCCTTAGAGGTCAGTGTGGGGCCCTAAAAGGCCGGCATGGGCCGGCGTTGGACCCCAGAGACCAGCGGAGGGCCCTCAACGGCCAAGATGGGCCCCAGAGGCCGACATCGGGTCTTCAGAATCCAGTGCAGGGCCCTGAGAGACACTTAAAGGTTAGTCTTGGGACTCGAGAGACAGAAATGAGGCCACCAGAGGCCGGTTGGCCCCTGAGGCCGGTTTAGGGGCCCTCAAAGGCCAGTGGAGGGCCCTCAGAGGTCAATGTGGGTCCTCAGCGGTCAATGTGGACGCTTGACCGCCACTGAAGGGCCCTCAGAGGTCAGTGTAGGACCCTCAAAGACTGGTATGGGAGCTGTTAATGGCTGGCGTGGGTTTCTCGAGCCTCGTGACAATCGAATACGGGCCAGGGCCCCATACGGCCATGGGGGCCCATCGGTTGTTTGGGGGGGGGGGGGGGCCAAATGATATGATGGCCCCCCTGATTTGCCTTTGGGGGGGGGCCATGGCCCTGATGGCCCCCCCCCTGCGACCGCCACTGCATCCCCTCATTTACTATTTATAGTAGAATGCATGCTATAACGTCGTTGACACGCTTCACTCAGCAGCAGTCAGAACAATGCATACCGTGTTGAAGAGGATCTCGAACAGGTTTCGGCACGACTCGAACATGCTCTTGTCCAGCTGGTAGAGCCGGGCCTTCTCGAACGTCTCCTGGGTGATGGCGCCGTCCAGATCATCCGGCACGTTCTGCACCGTCTTCAGCACGTTCCGCTGCACACAGCACACGGGGCGTCAGGGGAGATGGACGTCGCAGTGACATCTAGTGGCAGATATAACAAGCGGTAGTTACATAACGCAGGTCATAGATCAGGCAACAGACCTTCTAATGCAACGATACATCAATGCTTGGAAGATTTACTTAGAAAAAAAAATCGTGAAAAAACTCCCAGCACATTTACATTGGTCTGGGCAGGACCCTAGTGAGTCACAGAGGCTGAGCCCGTCCAGAGGACAGGCCACCCAGCCCCAAGGTACTCACTGCACCCGGCTACGGGGTGCGCTCCCTCGGGAGCAGCGGTGCCGCTCCAAGGGAGCAGCCCGCATGAGATAAAGGTGCCTGCCCAGCCCGGACACTCTAAGCTTGTCAGCCGTTCGACCCCATCTGACCAAGGCAGATTTTCACTGAAAAACGATCGTACTAATGAGCGACGTTGAATACTGTGACTATACATACGTCTCTCAAAGAGACGTTTTCAGCCCTGCAAGTACTCAAGCAGTGTACTCACAAAGGAACATTCATTCTATCGCGATAATGCTAAAAGCACAAAATTGTTTAAGTCAATTATAATGCCCATCAATTCTTCAGCCCATCAATTCTGACATGAAATGCTCTAAATGACTTTATCTGACGTTAGAGTTGGAGACAGGCTTGGGACCCAGACTACAAGTCGTGACAAATTTCGACTAGCTCTCGGGCGTGCACAGGGCGTCCCCTGGCCTTACTCCGGCGTGCATTTACAAACCCCGAAGGCGTGCATTTACGAACCTCAGGCGTGTCTTGACGAATCGGGGCGAGCACACCTAGAGAGCTCCCACTCTAAGCTTGTCAATGAGACAAACGCGAAATTGCCGAAGAAAGTTGCTATGTGGCCCAGTCCAGCTACGGCATTCTTTTGATTTGAGAACACTGTTTATTGGGGAATGAGCATCAAGCGTGCTACATTTCACCGGTACAAATACTGCCACAAATTCTGGCATTTCACAGCAGCTTATGTACATATACATACGTCATACATGTATATGGACATACATGTACATACATTGGAGGGGGGGGGGGGAGGTTCGGTCAGACCTCCTCCCGGCCGTTCGACCCCATCTGACCAAGGCAGATTTTCACTGAAAAACGATCGTACTAATGAACGACTTTGAATACTGTGACTATATATACGTCTCTCAAAGAGACGTTTTCACTTTTCAGCCCTGCCAGGCGCTTTTCAGTATACAATGCTCAATTTTGTTTTGCTTGTGTGGGACGTGCAGGCTTAAAACTTGAAGCGCTATGCGTCAGATGTGCAAATGATGGACACAGGCCTGCAATACTACTTGTCGAGAGTGCACTCCCATTAGATGGGGCGCACCTGCGCACACATGCTAGAGGCTATAGAGACTGCAGTATAGAGACTGCAGCCTTGACAGTTGACTCTAAACAATACTACCACTGCACTACTTGTCACTACCATACACCAGCCCCACAAGGATCACTTGAATCAACCCACCTGCCTGACGGCCAGGTACTCCTCCCAGACAAAGATGACCACGGAAAAGGCGATGACAGCATACAGGATGGACGTGTCGGAGACCGACCTCAGGTACTGCAGGGCAGCGCAGTCCCACAGCCAGTCCCACTGGGCTGTCATGATGGCAGCCTGCAGCGGGGATAACTGCCAGGAATTAGCTGAAATGCAGAAAGAGCAGCGATGAAATATGCCATGGTAGATAACTTAAAATTATGACTAGAAAATGTAGGCACGAATGCTTATGGTCAGAGTCATTACAACAAAGTTCATTTGATTCCTATAATATTGAAACATCATGAAACATCATGAAAACATGATGGTGATTCATTGCAAATGCCTTCAATAGCCAGACTGGGAAACATCTATACACTACGCCGGACGCCCGTGAGACCCTCTTGCGCTCAATGCAAGCAATTTTGCACTGAAATGTCTGCGTGATTTACGCCGAAAATTGAGTGCCTATTTGTGCCAAAATTAAGCCTTTTTTATACTGCACATGTGCACATCTACCGATCAAGGTCATATCAACCAGACAGAGCGTTCCGGGGCCTTGGACGCTCTCCCATATTTGAGCGTCCGAATAATATTTTATTTCCATGGCAACACAATACTTCAATAGTCAATACGCTTAGCGCACTTTGGCATCGTGCCGTGAAACAAGGCCGAAGCCGGAAGCTCCGGGGCCACAAAATCGGCGGAGCGGTGTGGCTCGAGGCTGGCGGGAGCCAGCGAGGGCCGGGCAGCGGAGCAGCACGTGCTCCGGCACATCAGCCTCTTCTCGGCACACGGTGTAGAGCTCCGCGGGACACCGCTTGTCTGGGCACTACTGGCAAGCCGCGGAGTGGAGACAGCCGATTCGGTGCATGTACTGGAGCGAGCGGCCCCGGTGGCCCGCCCTCATCTGGTGCACCGAAACGGCGTCTTCTCGGTCCTCTCAGGGGATAGGGAGCGGCGGCGTACTCCCGAGGAGTTGCTTGAATGGTGACTGGGACCAGTTGTAGCCCCATTGATGCGAGGCCGCACAATGAACCGCCCTGGGCAGCGAGCGGGCATTTGGGGGCAAGCAGCCGCTTGTTTCGCCAGGTCGTCCGTCGTCCACACTCCAATTCCCCTCGATACCACAGTGGGGCATGGGCAGGAAGAGGAACCCACTGCAGTATTATTGACGCTCGACAATGTTCAAAGTCTTCCATACCTATCTCCACGCCGAGGGTTGAGCCCTCACCTGGACAGCTGCTCCTCACTGAGTACTCAGGGCAGTTCGTCAGTTCAAGCATGTGACGACCAGGGCCGGGACGTCTCGTCCCGAAACCTCTCCAGAGCCGCCCACAGGGCAAATCCGCTGCTAGATTGACCAGGGTGCGGACTCAATTTGAATGTCTTTCGCCAAAAATTATGTGGACACACCCTGCGCCAAACCATTTGACAGCCGCCATGCACTGATTTCAATTTTGGCGCAGCGAGGTTACACTGGACGTGCGCTGATATTTTCGGTGCAATCCCACCACTATGTCTAACATATTCGACATAATTGTCATGTGTTTTTGTCCAGTCTGGCTCCTCCATTCCTTAATTTACGTCAGTATTAGAATGTATGAGCTGTATCAGTATGCACAGATATAACGTACTGCTTTCAGCAGCGCACTTTGGCCACAAGCTTACATGGAACAGACTTAGGAGCAAATTTCCAAAATTGCATGGGTATCTCAGCACAGAGCAGGGGAAATCAGAAAATTTCCGGGCCTTGCTACCGTTCAGGTTCAGAGTACAAGCCACAAGTCTAATTAGTTTCTTACAGTTTCTACAATTTCTTTCACGCTTCTCCTTCAGTTTCAGTTGTTGTTGATTGTTGAAGTGAGTTATACTGTGGTTCTCAATTTCTCATGAAGAAAGCAGAGACAAAATAAAGCAGGTATGTGTTCAAACCTCAGGAGTCCCTGAGGATATTCCGGAAATAAGGGACATTTTCGCCAATGGCTCAGCCAGTTGCGTTCGCATTTGCTACTTTTTACGTAATAGAACATAGCATCAAACGCAACAGATGCGCCAGGTACGGGAATATGGCAGCAACCACGTTGAAAGCGGAATTACTTCAGTTTGACCAAAAAATGAGCTATCGGCGACCTCAAGCATTAGTCGTATTTTATGATGTATGATGCTATTTTGCCAAAAATTAAGAGAAAATATTCTTATTTTGCTGCAAAAATATACATGAAAATACTAGATTTTTTTTAGTTTTGAAAATCCAAGTAAAGTTTTTCCTACTTGTACAAACTGTGGATCAAAATTTTACGCAAGACAAACACATGCTGCCCGCGCGCCGATATGTTGAGGGTAGGCAGACAACTGAACCAGGGACAACTGAACCAGTAAAACTGAACCAGGGACAACTGAACCAGTGACAACGAACCAGTGACAACTGAACCAGCGACAACTGAACCAGCGACAACTGAACCAGGGACAACTGAACCAGTATGACAACTGAACCAGTGGACAACTGAACCAGTAGACAACTGAACCAGTAGACAACTGAACCAGTGACAACTGAACCAGTGACAACTGAACCAGTGACAACTGAACCAGTGACAACTGAACCAGTGACAACTGAACCAGTGGACAACTGAACCAGTAGACAACTGAACCAGTGACAACTGAACCAGTGGACAACTGAACCAGTGATGACTGAACCAGCGAACAACTGAACCAGTTCAGTTGTCCCTGGTTCAGCTGTCACTGGTTCAGTTGTCACTGGTTCAGTTGTCACTGGTTCAGTTGTCACTGGTTCAGTTGTCCTGGTTCAGTTGTCACTGGTTCAGTTGTCATGGAACCATGTTGAGTGAATTGATATGATTGATATTGATATCATTATTCTCCCCCCTGGATTGCATTCTCTTTGTACAGAACTACATAAGATGAGAAGATAAATTTGTGCATATTTTTAGACTGGTTTCCCTGGATGGGATCTTTTTATTTATGGTGAACTTGGTTGAAGAAGGTAGGCAAGGCAAAGATCAATTATCAAAGGCCGGTAGTAGGCTTTGACTTACTTATTTACGTACATACTTACGAAGTATGGAATTTGGATAGGCCAAAGGCCTTTAGAAACCTTTCTAGTCTAGTTTCTCGTGCGTCTGACTATTTGTCTGCGTGAGGGGTGTCGTGTGCGAGGACCGAGGTGTGCCCAGTTGCCTGTTGCAGTGGGTGGTCGAGCCTATTTTTGAACTGGTTCAGACTTCAGAGTGACAGCGCAGATATCGTGCCTGTCTCCATTATTACTTGAACTTTAACTGCATTTATCAATTGGAGCACTGGCGGATCCAGCCACCTGTCATGGGAGGGGCATTTTAGCGAAGGGTCCCAAGGTAGGGTGGCGGGTGCCCCTAAAACTAAAAACTCTTCGGATTTAGGCCACTATTTTTTGGGATTTGCCTAAATTTATTTTTAATTAATAATAAAAAATATATTCAAATTGAGCCTCATGCCGTTTTGGGCCCCCCCCCCCCCCAAAAAAAAATCATTGGAAATATGACCGAAGTTGACATTTTGTATGTACCTGGAAGGAAAATTTAACTTTTTAATTAATTGAAGTTGGTTTTAAAACAATGTCTGATGCGTAAGCATCCAATTTCGACAAGATTATGGGATTCTGAAGAAAATTTTGAAATTTTGAACCTCAAAAAACGCCAAAAATAACCTATCTGGCGGGAGGGGCATGCTTACATTGAATGCCCCTCCCAGATTTCTACGGGAGGGGCATTTGCCCCCAATGCCCCCCCTTGGATCCGCCAGTGAATTGGAGCACAGACTGAGTATTTTGTCATTATTTCGAAGCTTCTGTTATAACAGATAAACAATATAAATGATATTTGTATGTGAGATGGTTCTATAATTATTACCTATTGATGCTTTGGTTTGATCATTTGTTATTTTTACCTATAGTTATACTTATACCATATGCTAAGCTCAGATATCAATATCACCCTCTTTCCAGAAATGCAGTGCAAATCATCAATATAAAATGCACATTTTAGCTGGCTATTAGACTCCTAAAACTATTACACTGAATAGATGTCAAACTCTGCCATTTTATGATGACCTGAAGGCCATGTTACAGAATAAAAGGGCGATTGTGTCCTTTTGTGATATATTTCAGACCTGCTACTGCTTTGAACCATTTCTGAGTTATAATTTCTTATTGCTTCTTGTAATAATATCATTCTTTTTCAGACTGGCTGACAGCATGTCAGGTTTATGTGACAGTGAAAGGATTTAATTGACAGTCAAAGGATTTAATATAATCCTGGCTGCCATTACCTGTGACCATGGCACACTCAATTCACCTGGAGCATTACCTGGACAGTTTAGAGAGCCTGCCAGCTGAGCTGCGGCGCAACCTGACCCTGCTGCGTGACCTGGACGAGCGCGCAGAGGGCCTGTCGGGCAGCCTGGTGCGCGAGGCCGACCGGTACTCGGCCGAGGTGGCCGGACTGGAGGCGAGCGGCCGCCGCCACCAGCTGGCCGCCATCGACCAGCTGCACACCAAGCTGCGCGAGCTGGCCGACGACAAGGTGCAGCTGGCCATCCAGACGTACGAGCTGGTGGACAAACACATCCGCCGGCTCGACTCGGACCTGGCGCTCTTCGAGTCCGAGATCAAACAGAAGGGACTCGGCGCGCGCGGCCGCTCCACCGACGAGTCGGGCAAAAAGGCGGCGCGCAAGAAGAGCGACGGTCGCCGGCGGCGCAAGTCCTCCTCGGACGAGGGATCGCCTCCACCGCAGAAGCGCGGCCGCAAGTCGGCGTCGGGCGCGGCGGCGGCCGGCGAGGAGGGAGCGGCGCCGACGGAGCTCAGCCTGGGCATCACGCACCCGTCGGACGTGCTGGACATGCCGGTGGACCCGAACGAGCCGACCTACTGCCTCTGCCACCAGGTCTCCTACGGCGAGATGATCGGCTGTGACAACCTCGACTGTCCCATCGAGTGGTTCCACTTCGCCTGTGTCGGACTCACCACAAAACCCAAGGGCAAGTGGTTCTGTCCAAAGTGTAACCAGGACAAGAAGAAAAAGTGATTGGGCCGTTAATGGAGAGCTCATGATTTCCAAACGAGCTCATGATATCCAAACGTGCCTGACCTATGAGAGGTGAGTTTTGTACGATTTTTTCCCAACTGTTTTGCTAGTGATATTTGGAGGAGGCATTTCTTTTTGCCGTAGCATAACGTGCAGTGCCGTCTGAGTTATCGACCCATGTAACATTCATCTTCATTGCATTGTATCATGAGTTACACTTCGCATTACGCGATGTAGTCTTTGATGAGTCACTTATGCTGGTAGGGAACACTTTTTTTTTGCACCCCGAGAGCAGCTGAAAGACGGTAGCTTAACAGGCACCTATGTCGTGGTTTTGGCTACGATGAAACTCATGTTGTCTTGAGACTCGATGATTTAGTATCAGTTTGCAATGCTCAACGTCCTTACATCTGCCGTTTTGCGTTAGGTAATTATCACTACAGGTTGCAGCGTCATTTCGATATACTTTAAGCTCAGCTTGGCTGATATTCAGTCCCATCATGTAATGTGACATTGAACAATACACCTCATGCCATTCTAACGACTGTGGGGACTGGGATCAGGGACGGCGGGGACTTGGGAGGGACACTGAATACTACCGACTTCTTTTTGGAGTGCAACTGAAGCTACGCCAGTGTTTCATTTGTAGTTTCAAATACCATGGAATTGCCGGATATCCCTCTAGAATAGCGTACCAAGAATTTTCGAATAATTTTCCTTTTAGTTGACAATTGATGCCTTTAATTGATCACCCCTTTGGTAATCCAACCGATTTCTAATTAACTTTTAGTCCATATCGTGCATTAGAAACGTTCACCTCATTTCATCTGCGGGACCAAGAGTTGATCCTTTATGGCCTCGCTCGACCCACGTCGCTTCCCGTTTTGGTAGTAGGTACTGCCAAGTGGTTGTTTTTCTACGGCCGACTGTCTGGTTTTGTAGGATGTAAGGCCCACACGGCGTTATTTGTTGTCGTGACCCGTGTATAACCCGTTGGAACCACCCACCTACCGCACCACACCTGTCGTTACGGGAATGAACATGGGGTTAAGATGGCACCATGAACTCCAGGGCCTCTTTTGTGGAAATGCTGCACGGCAAACATTCAACATTTCCCACCCGAATATCTCTGCTCTGTCCATAGCAGCAACCCACATACCGTCTGGCCGCCACGCCCCTGTCCGTCCCATCCGCCCACCCTCATACCTATGTATCCCCACATCCTCCCATTTTCCCACCCACAGGGGGCGGCCGTCGCATGGCAGCCGGCCGACAGTCACGTGACCTGCCGGGCGTGTCATCAGCGGCGTCACGTGACCGCGGCGGCCCGGCGGCCGGCCGGCCCGCGCGCGGCTCGGCGAGTAGTCGTCGCAATGGCCGGTGTGGGGAAACACGTGCGGATCCTGGAGCCACCGCTCAACCCGCACCGGGCGCTGCCGGGCCTCTACAGCGAGCAGGTGGGTCCGACGGCCGCCGTCACTGGGGAGGCCGGGAGGTCAGCCGACGTGCCGCACACCTGTGGCCGGGCAGACGGGACCGAGCCGGTGTGGGAGACAGAGACAGCGGGACTCAGGTCTCGCTCGATGTCTCTCTCCACGCTCCGTTTCTCTCAACACCCGGCGGTCGCGCTGCCGCCAGTGGCGGGCATGCACCGGAAAAAGGAACAGTCAGCACGGCTGCGACTGCGGCGGGGAGGTGGTTCGGGGTACGGACGTGCCGTCATGCCGACCACACGGCTCTCCGTGACTGACCCGACCTAGCAGGGGGCTGGGGTGGACCGGACCGACCGGCAGCTGGGACCGTGGGCCACCGTGACAGACGGGATAGGATGGTCCACAGCTCACTGCTCGATGGACTGATAGACAAGCACCGGGCCGACAGACATACAGGGCTGCTTAGAGTGGGCCCTTCCAGTGACCTGCCTCGACCCTGTGAACCGTGACCTGGTGAAGCTAGTCGAACATCTGTGAACCGTTAGCGCTTTTTACCGACGCTGTCAGCTGCGAGCCGGCCGAGCTGACCGGGACGGGCTCAGTTCGCCTGTGGGCTGTCGCAGACGGGAGGATGTTACCTGAATGTTACCACGCTGCGTGCACAGCTGTGCACCGGTAACAGTGACCGCTCATCTGTGAGGTATTCACTGAAAGCAGCGACAGGTGCATCCACTCGGCCGGGTATCAGTGACCCCTGTCACCCCGTGGTGACCTCAGTGACACCGTGCGGTCACAGCCGTCGGTATACACCGAACCAAAACACCGCCCCGTCGCACCCATCCCTCCCCTCCCTCCCCTTCCCTCGCCAGGCCTCCGCCCAGTTCAGGAACGCAGGCTGGCCGGGCGAGGGCGCGGCGCACCGAGCGATGCGCGGACGGCGCGTATTGAAGGTCGCTCGGCCGCCCGGGGCGCCGATTGCCGTGTGCCGAACAGCTGTAATCGGAGGAGCTCGCTGTCTGTGGAGTGGGGCGTCGCCGGTGGGGCGGTAGCGCGATCGCGATCCTCGCCGGGTGGGTCGCGACTGCGAGTTGACGAGGGAGGTGGCGTGGGAGGGGTGTCCATCGGGAGGAGGTGACGGGACTTGCTCTTCTCGGCACCCTCTCCGCCACCACCCTTCCTCTTATGTTCCCTTCTCCAAAATTATTCTGGGCCTTTATACGAGCGAATTTATTGGTCGGTGTTGAAAGACCTGCGAACAATCCATTGACGGTTGTGATTCTCCTCTGGGTAACACTTGACCCAGGAAGTTTTTGCAGTTGAGTTCTGGCTAATGTGAGCTGGGTCATGGCGACTGATCTGTTGGGCTTTTCTGCCCTCTGATGTGGGTCACCAAGCTAGCACAGCTGTGCCGCCATCTCACCCGGCCGTCCCTCCCCTCGCACCTGTGGGCGTGGTCGGGCGGGGCTCGGCCAGTCGGCCTAACCTCCGCCGAACAGCACCACATTGCACGCTGGGCCGACGGACCGGAAAAGCGCTAGAAATACCCCCAAGAGTGACTTTCCACACTATGAACAAAATATGTATCATTCGATCCCAAATTGATCAAAGCATACGATTCTGATGCCATTTTTGCCCTAAGGTCGAAATTGAGGTGATCAGTTGTCACCAAACACAAGACTATTTAGACCCGCTAGTGGCCACCACATTCGCCGATTTTAATGCCAATCTTTAGTTGATATTTATTAGTTGACCAGTTGTCGTTTTGAACGCAATTTTCTGTCAGACTAGTTCAGGGCACTGTTGTTCACTGTACCAACAACATTCTTACATATTGCATCGCTTTTCTGCAAGATAAGCTAGCTTTTTGCAAGCAGCTGCAGGACCTAAATAGAAATCATATCTAAATTTTTAAATAGACTTATATAAAAACGTTATTTCGAGCGGCTAAAAATGAACATCTTATACTAGCCTCTGATTACTCATCTTTCGTTCCATGTAGGTGCTTTGCTGCTTTTCCCTGCTACTTTTCGAGATATGCGCCAGTAAACCATATGATGTAGGGGCAATTGTCACCTCGCCGCTCTACTGACGGCCTGGCGCTCTTTAAAGCGCCGAAATTTATGAAAAACGAATGTTTATAATCTGAATAAAATATATGTCCCTGAGCTCAGAATTGATCAACGCACACAATGCTGTCAAAATTTTTGGGCCAAAGTCAATAATTAAGTCATTATGAACCCCCAAACACAAGTCAGTGATAATCAACAACAACTTGCTCTTTAGTTAGACTTTTTGAGAAATGTTATTTCGAGCCGCTAAAGATGAGCATGTCATGCAAACAACTAATCAATTGTCTGCCATGCCCTATTGACGATTATTGCCTATTACTGCTACTTTTCGAGATATCGTCTGCTTAGTCACCTGAAATGGCTGCTATGCCACCCTACCGCGGTAGGGTGGCATAGCAGCTATATCAGGTGACTTAGCAGACGATATCTCGAAAAGTAGCAGTAATAGGCAATAATCGTCAATAGGGCATGGCAGACAATTGACTATACTCTGTTCCGTTTCAAGTTTGCAGCCGAAGTGCCATGCTGAAAGCAGTGCGTGATTTCTGTATATACAGCTCTTACATTTTAAGACGCAAATTCTTGAGCGGAGGAGCGATCAGCCGAAGAAACTCCGACTGCAAGCTTGATATGGAACAGACTATAGTTGTTTGCATGACATGCTCATCTTTAGCGGCTCGAAATAACATTTCTCAAAAAGTCTAACTAAAGAGCAAGTTGTTGTTGATTATCACTGACTTGTGTTTGGGGGTTCATAATGACTTAATTATTGACTTTGGCCCAAAAATTTTGACAGCATTGTGTGCGTTGATCAATTCTGAGCTCAGGGACATATATTTTATTCAGATTATAAACATTCGTTTTTCATAAATTTCAGCGCTTTAACCCTATTCCTGGCGGGCTCCGCCGGGACAAGAAACTGGCGGGGGGGGGGGGGCCGATTCGGCCCCCCCTGAGATCTCGAGAACGAAGCAAGATAGCGACAAGCGGTAAACGGCATCGGATACGCACGGCCAGGATCTACAATTTTTACAAAGGTCATTTTCAGGTCAGGTCAAAGATGACGTCACAGGGGTCGAAAAAGTCAAAATGGCGGCGCTAGATATGGAGAGTTTTTCTCGAATAACTTTCGAATTAGTCAAGATAGGAACAAACTAAGGGCATCATCGTGATCCTCTCGTCAATCCGCATCGAATGATAGATATGTTGACCTCGAAAGGTCAAGGTCAAAGGTTGACCTCAGGTCACGTGACCTCGAGGTCATCATGTATATCATTCGATGCGTCTTGACGAGCTGAACACAATGAGACCATCCACGCGTCTGTATCTTGTTCCTGTACGGAGTTATTGGCCAAAAACCTTTGGTGACCTTTGATGACGTCACATGACCTCACAGCTGCCCAACAGCAAAACAGACCTCAAGGTAGTGAAGGTTGATCGTATATGAAGTCATGTATGGTATATGGGGCCATTCCGACCCGTTTTAGTGGTAAAAACAGGGAGTTGATTTTTCCCCCATTGACTTATAATGGGGAGGTCGCGAAATTGACCTGACCTTAGGTCACCGATATCAAAATTCCGAGATATACAAATTGCACATACTGGTACCCTAACTAAACCCTGAAGAGAAGAAATTGATCGGTCAAAAACTCTAGCTCTGGCGTGATTGCAAACTTTTCTGAGGTAGGGTCACCAAACCGCCTCTGGTGACCTGACCTGAGGTCAGATCAACTCAAAATTTTCAGACATGTTGCGTAGAAGCCTTTTAGGAAAAGTCAGAAAATTTGAGCTTCCTAGCTCAACGCGTTTGGGAGAAATAACCAAAAAACCTCAGGGGGGGGGGGGCTCCTGAGGCCCCCCCCGCCAGGAATAGGGTTAAAGAGCGCCGGGCCGTCAGTAGAGCGGCGAGGTGACAATTGCCCCTACATCATGTGGTTGACTGGCGCATATCTCGAAAAGTAGCAGGGAAAAGCAGCAAAGCACCTATATGGAACGAAAGATGAGTAATCAGAGGCTAGTATAAGATGTTCATTTTT